TATCCGATTCTTTAATTTCAGGCTCAAACTACTCCCCCTATTCTATATCCGTTTCCTGAGTATCAGGCTCAAACTACTCCCCTGTTCTATAACCGATTCCTGAGTATCAGGTTCAAATTACTCCCCCTATTCTGTATCCGATTCTTGAGTATCAGGCTCAAACTACTCCCCCTATTCTATATCCGATTCTTGAGTATCAGGTTCAAACTACTCCCCCTATTCTATATCCGATTTGTGAGTATCAGGCTCAAACTACTCCCCCTATTCTATATCCGATTCTTGAGTATCAGGCTCAAACTACTCCCCCTATTCTATATCCGATTCTTGAGTATCAGGTTCAAACTACTCCCCCTATTCTATATCCGATTTTTGAGTATCAGGCTCAAACTACTCCCCCTATTCTATATCCGATTCTGAAGTATCAGGCTCAAACTACTCCCCCTATTCTATATCCGATTTTTGAGTATCAGGCTCAAACTACTTCCCCTATTCTATATCCGATTCTTGAGTATCAGGCTCAAACTCCCCCCCCCCTATTCTATATCCGATTCCTTAGTATCAGGCTCAAACTACCCCCCCCCCCCCCCCCCCCCATTCTATATCCAATTCTTTGATATCAGGCTCAAACTACTTATTATTAGTTGTTATTTTATGTTTTAAACAATATAGATTTTCATTAATTTTGTTCCATAATGATCGTGCATTCATAAGTTTGGAGAAACTGTGAGAGAGACATTGTGTTTATGTAAATTTACAGAGATTACCAACCGTGTGGTTGTATGTGTTCGGTCCGAACTTTGTCTAGATTTCACCGATATTATATTGGTAGATTGTGAGAAACGTTTGCTTAGTTCATCGTATGATTACCTCTTTGTATTTACATATATACATCCTACTGGCTCCTCTGTGGTAACAGATGTTAGACCACTGCAAGGCATAGACAATCTGGAGCAAAGCTTTTTATTTATTACTACTCGTTTTCCAAATGGTAAGTTTATAGTATTTGGGGATCTTAACGCCAGGTGTGGAAATCAGTCCGAATTTGTTGTGAATGATGGGAATCGGTACAAACCGACACACTATGTGTCTGATTCCTTTGACACTCCCAGACGAAGCCGTGATGATATATGCAATGAATATGGAAAGGAGCTCCTAGGTTTGTGTTTCACTCATAACGTTCACATGTTGAATGGGCGATGTTCGGGTGAGACAGAGGGTAGCTTCACTTGTTTTAAAGGAGACGGAGCAAGTTTGGTTGATTACTGTTTATGTTCAAGTGACTTATTTACCAGAGATATCGACTTTACTGTACCTACACGGTGTGAGTCTGATCACTTTCCAATTGTTATGTCATTGCAAGTACATACTGACCATGGTACAACGGAGAACGGGGCAGAAAACGAGAAAAAGGACGCGGTTATTGAAACTTTTCGTCAGTCTGTAGCTGATATGTTATCACCTTATGTATTAGACAGTGACAGAGACCAGGTTCCACTTAATATCGAGTCTGCGGCATAAAAATGAATTGATGTATTTCATGTTTGTGCTGAGTCCTGTGGTCTTTTAAAAAAGAAGTAAAGTACTGTTGTACTGTTTGACTAAGGATAGTGAGAATTGGTACGATGATTGATAAAAGACAAAAGTTTAAAAAACTTGATTTATTCTGAATCTCAGGAAGTAAGGAACTTCGAAGGAATATTTTGTAATTAAGAATATAGACAAAAAGATTGGAGCATGATGAACATTGTATGACTGATTTTGTCAATAATAGCAAAAATGGTAAATCCTTTTGGAGACGCGTCAACAATATCATTTCTTCACCTTCTGTGAAAGGAAGCCCAGGTATTTGCAATATGCAGTGGACCGAATATTTCCAGCCTGTGTTTAATTAAACTGATATACCTGTGGATGGGGACAATCTGGCTGAGGCAGAAATTTGTATGAACAGCCATGATATTAATGAGTGCAATTACTGTAATGATTATGTTGTGAATAATCTCCTTTATGCTGATATAACCGAAGAAGAAGTATCATCAGCTGTACATAACTTGAAACTGGGTACATCGGCAGGACCGGATGGAATTCTTCCTGAAATGGCGAAATATTGCAGCACTTCAATCATACCATACTATTGGTTTTAATAGTTGGTTTGGTTTGTTGTTTAACGCCGCACTCAGCAATATTTCAGCTATATGACGGCGGTCTGTAAATAATCGAGTCTGGACCAGACAATCCAGTGATTAATATCATGAGCATCGATCCACGCAATTGGGATCGATGACATGAATCAACCAAGTCAGCGAGCCTGACCACCCGATCCCGTAAGTCGCCTTTTACGACAAGCATAGTCACCTTTTACAGCAGGATGAGTTGCTGAAGACCTATTCTACCCCGGAATCTTCACGGGTCGTGTTTAATAGGATTATGCATAGTGGTGTATTACCTTACGAGTGGACAAATGGTATAGTAGTTCCTCTGCATAAGAAAGATAATATCTCGTAGACTCAAGACATTTGCGGACGTTTATGATACAATTCCTGAAGCTCAGGCAGGATTTCGAAGCGGATACAGTACAAATGATAATATGTTTACATTACAGTGTTTAGCACAAAAAATATCTCTCTAAACGTCGGGGAAGATTTTATTGTTTGTTTGTTGATTTCCGTAAAGCGTTCGAGTCGATTAACCGGAAGCTCTTGTAGTATTCATTAATGAAAAATGAAAAACGGTCGTGTGTAGGTGGTTTTGAAGGAATACATACTCTAAGATTCAGTGTGATGTCAGGAGTTCAAATAACTCTCTTTTAGATTAGCTCGAATCACTGCGTGGTGTTCGACAGGGCTGCGTGTTGAGTCCGTTTCTGTTCACGATGTGTATCCTTGAATTACAGTCTATGATAGAAAGTAACGAGTTGCGAGTGATTTATATTGGAGAGGAGTTTATAGACATATTACTTTTACTATATGCAGATGATTTGTATATTTTTGATGACACAGTAATAGGTCTGCAAAGAAAAATTGATATTTTATCCACTTTTTGTAAAATGTGGGGACTTTAAATTAACATGTCTAAAACCGAAATGTTGGTTTTCAGAAGAGGCGGCACTTTAAGGTATGATGAACGATGGTTTTTGAATGGTAAACGTATCAATGTTAGTACTTACTAAAGTTATCTGGGTGTTCTGTTTTCAAATAGATTGTCTTGGGCTAAATGCTTTGATACCCTCAAGTTTAAAGCCATTAAGGCTTTTTTTTGCCATTAAACAATTGCAGTTTCACTTTGTAAATATGCCAGTTAACATTTTATTTAAATTGTTTGATATTATATTCTTCTCTATGGCGCTGAGATCGGGGGTTGCAAAGGTAGTCAAATTATCGAAACTTTTCATACTAAGTTTTGTAAATTTGTTTTAGGAGTTGATAAACATGTATCAAGTACAGCAATATTAGCTGAATGTGGAAGATATGGTTTGCATGTGGATTATCATATGAAGTGTGTTAAAAACTGGTGTAAACTTATTAGAATGAATAATGAAAGATATCCCCGACAGTGTTATTTGTTAATGAAGAAGCTGGATGAATGTGGTAGAATTACTTGGGCAACTCATGTTAAATATTTACTCGACATTTATGGATTTGGTTATGTGTGGCACGAACAGAATATTGGTGATGTTAATTGTTTCTTGCAGCTGTTTAGACAGCGTTTGTTGGATTGTAACAGAGTATACAGATGGAAATTTATGAGTCTTACAAATTAAAGTATTATTCACACGTCAAGATATTATTGGATATGGCATATTATGTTATAGCTTTCAGAATAGAGACCATAGACGTATGCTGTGCCTGTTAAAATTAAGTGAATTGCCTATACGGAGTAATCTGGACAGAATAGAGGATATTGTTTATTCACAACGCTTTTGTCGGCAATGATACAATGGTGGTATTGAGGACGAAGTTCATTTTGTGTTTTTCTTCCCGTTGTACGCATCATTAAGACAAAAGTATATTCCTGTAAGATTCTATAACAATCCATGCATTAATACTTTTAGCAATCTCTTAAATAGCCAAAACGACTGGCCACTCAGAAATGTAGCTAAGTATGTGAAGGATAAACATATGTAAAAGGCGACTAACGGGATCGGGTGGTCAGGATCGCTTACTTGGTTGATGCATGTCATCGATCCCAATTGCGTGGATCGATGTTCATGATGTAAATCACTGGATTGTCTGGTCCAGACTCGATTATTTACAGACCGCCGTCATATAGCTGGAATATTGCTTAGTGCGGCGTTAAACAACAAACCAAACCACCAAATAAACATATATATATATATATATACATTGCATGCATATCAACATTTTACATGAAAAAATACATTTGCCAAACAAGTCATAGTGCCAATATAATTATCTTTCTCAAAAATATCACAGACATTACAATCAAACATCAGGTGCAGTTTTATGTGAAATACAAAGTTAGTAAATCAAACAGAATAATGAATTCAAATCTTTTCTAAGTTAAACAAATATTGCTGTAATGCATCAATATCACACATCATATCCAGCCATTATGTCAGAAAATAAAGTTGCTGATGAGTACCAGTATATAACAAGTCTAAACGAAATGATTTGATAATAATGTCCTTCAAATTTATCACATAAAATCTTATTATGCCAAAAATCTGGAAATTTTACAATATGTAAACTAATGGGGTGCAATCATCGAAATATATTACTTGTGTACGACATTCACAGTCTGTTGCACAATTAGTGTCCAAACATTTGTATTCTTCATCGTGAAACAGCACCCTGGTGCAGACAAGTGTTTTACCATACTCATAGAATAGGGACACCATTGTAAACTTAATTGATTGCTGCATTGATCTCCACCACGCGCCCATTGCACGAGTCCCGTGTCCAGAAACAGTGTTGGTTCGGAACAGTATGTTTAGCAGTGACGTGGAGGGGGGAACATGTATCTTTATTTTACTGCATTGACAGATAGTAGAGCAAACCTCATACACGTGCTCAGCTAACTCTGGCAAGAAGCTGACGACCACGGGCGTAGGGCCATCGTATAGGTCGGTGTACCGGACACTGCAGGTCACCGCTGATCATCTCGGGGAGCCCCTGCAACGCATGGCTAACACGCTCCGCGAACCAAGGAGCATTCTCCGTCAGACACGACCCCACCCTCCTGCTGCCCTGACCACCCAGAGAGACAAACACCACCCCGGTGGCCCTTCAACAACACACGGCTTGTTGACACCGCAGGACATGCGTGACGCAGTGAGGACCCAGCGTCCAGTTGCCCTGACAACCCAGAGAGACAAACACCACCCCGACGGCCCTTCAACAACACACGGCTTGTTGACACCGCAGGACATGCGTGACGCAGTGAGGACCCAGCGTCCAGTTGCCCTGACAACCCAGAGAGACAAACACCAGCCCGGTGGCTCTTCAACAACACACGGCTTGTTGACACCGCAGGACATGCGTGACGCAGTGAGGACCCAGCGTCCAGTTGCCCTGACAACCCAGAGAGACAAACACCACCCCGGTGGCCCTTCAACAACACCCGGCTTGTTGACACCGCAGGACATGCGTGACGCAGTGAGGACCCAGCGTCCAGTTGCCCGACCTCGGCCTCGTAGAGCACTGGGGTATCCAAGCCCAGTAGTCGCCTCGGTTACCCATGGTCACAGTCACGTGCAGATGAAGGTCAAGCCCACTGTGTCCATGCCACCGATATCTGTCCAAGGAGCGCAATACAAAGGTCAAGGTCAGACGGAACGGTCACAGGAATCGCATGGTGGACAGCGAGATGCACTCCGGCATATAGTCATAGATGGCTGTAATGCTGCATACTCGTAAGTAATACCCATGTAGTTCAGAAGAGCCACGTAGTCCTGAAGATTTAGTTTTCATTTAGATATTTTATAATACAAAATTTGAGACACACGGTGTACAGACTGTAACTGGGCTCCATAGTTGTTGCCAGATACGCTAAGCATGGCTTAGAATTCGATGTATGTCACCGCCAAGCCATTGCAAATCGCTCGTGATTTTCACAACATTTGTCTACCTGCGTCACTTGGGATTTTTTTCCAAATATAGCCGACACGCTATTATATAACGTGTATACTGTTTGTGGCGGTGTATACACTGTAAATACCTATAGACTGTAATAACCTTCATGTATTATTTCAAAAAGTAGTGATACATGGAAATTGAATTGTATCTCAGACATGGACACCATTCAACCTTTTCCGGCGCTGGGATCCACCTTGCTGCAGGCTATTTCCTTCGGCTGGGACACACAGTGGCCGTTGTTCTACCACAAACGTGCAAGAAACGTTTCCGAAAATTGCCCCTCCCTGACCAGGAACGTCTAAAACGTTTGGAAGAGTCGGGTGTTTTGGTGTACACGCCCACCAGGAGCATCCACGGTCGATACGTGCAGCACCACGAGGAGAGGTGGGACACTAGTTCTTTTCTAGTTTCCAGTAGAAGAAAAGATTTTAAATCTCAAATGCTTCAGGTGTAAGACGCCATATTTGTTTCTGAAATGTTTAATAATTCATAATAATATTGATTAATTTGACCACATATTCAAGTAAGGAATTGCTCCACTGTTTAGGATGCTGTTGCGTCTAGCGGAACAAACCGAGGCAGTTATTGTCTCAAACGGGCACTTCCGTGACCTGATGATGGAGAATAAAACATGGAAGAAAATGGTCGAAGAAAGGTGACGTATTTCTCGTTGTTTGTGCACAGATTAAGGGTATGCATGTGTTAACAAAGACGTGAAGTAGATATGATGTGAAGTAGAGGAAGTTGTTCCTAAGTGATTCCCAATATTGGGAACGAGGAAGGACTTAATGAATATAAATTCTGACAGAGATTGATGACGTTCTTCCTTTTTCAATATGTCTGATATAGTGTTCCCTTTCTAACATATGTAAGTCTTGACCCCAAATGTCAGGGAGTCACACCTCCTATGAAGCTCTTATGCCATGAATTGTTTGATAGGCATTTCTTAAAAGTTGACGGATGACAAAGTAGAGAACATTTGTTGAAATAATTTCTTTATTCACTGTAAAGGCGACGCTTCGGTATGGAGCTAATGGCATATTATGAAAAGTTTTGTTGTAGATGTGTCATGTTGCCTATCAATTGAACGTTCTCTTCAAAAGGATTTAGGAAATATATAATTTGTCAAGACTAATAAAGAAATCTTATAAAAAGAGTAACAATACCATAATACAATTTATGGTATGAAGTAATTTACATCGTTAAAAATAACAACAGTTTCATGGTGTGTATCCTCATGTCTTTGCCAGACAGTTTGGGTAGAGGTAGAAATCGGAATGTGCCAAAACTGGAGGATGTTCAAAGTTATATATCTTATATATCTTCTTTGGCAGATCTATTCTTGGTTGTAGATGGTAGGTTTCACCAAAGAGGAACACGTCTGAGACCTGCATCTCTTCGTGCTTTCCTCCCACGTTAAGCTGAAACGCTGTGATATATCTGGAATACTGTGAAAAGTGGCGTTAAACCCACTCACTCACTGTAGACGTTCACCTAACATCTTGATGAACTTTTATTTGTTTTCAAAATAGAGCATCAACTGGGACAGAGGAAGGTATGTGGTTCTCTCCGCTGGACGCGTCCAATCAAACGACGTTAAGAAAACGTACTTGTTATTACCCTGCCATGCGGATTGGCCGGCTCACAGTCGGTATACTGTGTCTGAATGGGCTGTCCATTTTAATCTATAATGTTAGCACTATAAAGGGCATGCGTCTGACTAATACAAGCAGTCACATACACATGTAGATACGTCGGTTTGTAAGTGAAGTAGTGAGTGAGTTGGGTTTAACACCGCTTTTAACAGTATTCCAGTTATATCACGGCGTGTCAGCTTAATGTGGGAGGAAAGCCCGAAGTGATGCAGGTCTCAGATGTCTATCACTTCGGCGAAACCCACGAGCACGGGTATGGTGCCGGCTAACCTAGAAACATAGTCGGGGCGAACCGGGATTTGAACCCACAACCATAGGTTTCTAGCGTGCCGAAGGGACGCAACTCTGCACAGCGAATCGTGGCGCCTTAGACGACTGGGCCACCCGTTCCTCCTTTAAGTGAAATAACCTTGACCGCAATGTTACACCCAATTTGAGTTCACCCACCTCTAACACATCCAGTTGTATAACATATTCAGTGGACGTGCTGCTCCGGTATCCATCAAACACAACAGTGTTCTGTGGTCAATGCGTTGAGACACATGTGCAATACATATTGCACACATGAGACTATATGATTCCACAAGGCCAATCCAACATTGGAACAACGCTTCTCAATCAAATGCACACCAAGCGTAGTCTGTATGTCCAGACTTTCAGCATCCAATGAAGTGGAGACGATATGGCTAATTAGTTTCTCTTAAAAACACAACCGAATAACCGAAAGAGTGGGTGGATTGCTGCAAAGTCCAAACTTCAGCAATGTTTAAGGCCTTCTGTTAAATGTCCAGCTGCTGCACAACTCCTCTGGAAGAACAACACTATATGCCTTGAAATACTTAATTGCCGTTATTTCTAAGATGCTAATCCCAATTGTTTATCCCCATTGTATTGTAGATCGACTGTCTGCCATCAGGAATAAGATGTGCAAGTAGGTCACGGATGAATTACTGTTGTTTATATTTATGACTTACTAAATGTCAGGTGACCTTGGTCCAGAGAGTAAGAGAGAGAGAAGGAGAAGAGAAAGAGAGAGAAGAAAGGTCTTACCCTTAGCCTAACTTAGCCTAACTAGGGCTGGGTGCTCCGGGACACCAAGACAACAACCACTACCACTGTGTGCTGACCTGGCACATAGTGTTTTTGTATGTATATATCTACCTGTATAAAGTAATATTGTATATACCGCAAGCCATCGTCTCCAAGTTGTCACTTCCTACCGAGAACCATACGCCGACCCCTTGCCTATACGAGTATGCAAATTATTCATTAGCAACGCCACGTGTGTCTGCAACGCACGCGCGCCAGCCCGTTGTCAGACCTTTCAAACATTCCCGTTCCTCTGCTCGTTCCTCATCTGTGGGTCTCCAGTGGCAGTCTGAGCGACGTTCAACATGGTGACACTCGAATGTCTGTGGAGGTAGATTCTCACGGACTTCGTGTGACCAGCTACTGTGAAGAACGGTAACGTGTTGGACATAGATGTAGATGCAAATTCCCCCATTCTGAATTGCGTAGAAAATCAACAATGTTCATGTACTGGATCCACAACTATACAGTTCTGATGTCTCTCAAGACAGCCTTCTCCTGATCTACCTCTGATGAATTGTGCAGAGAATTAGATGAACACTCTGTGCTGATAGACACAACTTCGGGAGGAGAAAAGGTCAAAAGGTCTTGACACCAACATTGCATTGAGGGCAGTGTCCATAGCTAGGTCCAGAAAGGTCAGACCATTACAATCCAATATTATGCTAGTCTGCGTGGGGAACTCCGTATGACTATCAAGGCTAAACGTCGTGGTAAAGGTGCTAAGGTGCGTTGTTCCACCTGGACGATGCACATGTGAACAAGTCTACTGTCGCCATGGCTGCAATGCATAACTTTGGCTTTGAATGTTGAACATCATCCAGATTCAGATTGCCACCTCTTCTCAAACTTGACGGATATATAAGGATCTATTCCGAAACGTCGCCTTTACAGTAAATATTGTTGTTAGCCATAAATTATGTCTACTTTGTTCTCTTCTCAAACTTGAAGAAGGGACTTTCTGGCAAGCATTATGCAAATATAATGACGTAATTTCTGCGGTGGAGGACTTTATGCACCACCAGGGGAAAGCCTTCTATACCAGTGGCAGAAGTGTTTGGCACTCGAAAGGGATTATGTTTAAAAATAATGAGCAAGCAGCTCCATCCTAGTTATTGACGACGTACCTGACCTATCAAGGACACAATACCATGAAGACCGACTATTTATGAAAACCTATCACGTATTGACATGCTGCCATTATAACCAACATCGTGTGACATATCACAGGTTGTTGATGTTCACGTTTGCTGGCAACATCTTCATGCCGCTGGAGGACCCGCTAGGGAGACACGGGCCGTCACTGACGACGTTCCTGAGGAACGGTTCCTGGTGAGTAAACATTCATTCTTTCTTTCATGTGACCATTGGTATCTTTCATATAAGTCCATGTATGTGACCATTGGTATCTTTCATGAGCCCATGTATGTGACCATTGGTATCTTTCATGTGCCCATGTATGTGACCATTGGTATCTTTCACATAAGTCCATGTATGTGACCATTGGTGTCTTTCACATAAGTCCATGTATGTGACCCTTGGTGTCTTTCACATAAGTCCATGTATGTGACCATTGGTATCTTTCATATAAGCCCATGTATGTGACCATTGGTGTCTTTCACATAAGTCCATGTATGTGACCATTGGTGTCTTTCAAATAAGTCCATGTATGTGACCATTGGTGTCTTTCACATAAGTCCATGTATGTGACCGTTGGTATCTTTCATATAAGCCCATGTATGTGACCATTGGTGTCTTTCACATAAGTCCATGTATTTGACCATTGGTGTCTTTCACAGAAGTCCATGTATGTGACCATTGGTGTCTTTCACATAAGTCCATGTATATGACCATTGGTGTCTTTCACATAAGCCCATGTATGTGACCATTGGTATCTTTCACATAAGCCCATGTATGTGACCATTGGTGTCTTTCATATACGCCCATGTATGTGACCATTTTTGTCTTTCACATAAGTCAATGCATGTGACCATTGATATCGTTCATATAAGCCCATGTATGTGATCATTGGTGTCTTTCACATAAGTCCATGTATGTGACCATTGGTGTCTTTCAAATAAGTCCATGTATGTGACCATTGGTGTCTTTCACATAAGTCCATGTATGTGACCGTTGGTATCTTTCATATAAGCCCATGTATGTGACCATTGGTGTCTTTCACATAAGTCCATGTATGTGACCATTGGTGTCTTTCACAGAAGTCCATGTATGTGACCATTGGTGTCTTTCACATAAGCCCATGTATGTGACCATTGGTATCTTTCACATAAGTCCATGTATATGACCATTGGTGTCTTTCACATAAGCCCATGTATGTGACCATTGGTATCTTTCACATAAGCCCATGTATGTGACCATTGGTGTCTTTCATATACGCCCATGTATGTGACCATTTTTGTCTTTCACATAAGTCAATGCATGTGACCATTGATATCGTTCATATCAGCCCATGTATGTGATCATTGGTGTCTTTCACATAAGTCCATGTATGTGACCATTGGTGTCTTTCACATAAGTCCATGTATGTGACCATTGGTGTCTTTCACATAAGTCCATGTATGTGACCATTGGTGTCTTTCACTTAAGTCCATGTATGTGACCATTGGTGTCTTTCACAGAAGTCCATGTATGTGATCATTGGTGTCTTTCACATAAGTCCATGTATGTGACCATTGGTGTCTTTCATATA